CGTTGCTTTTGCGAGGCTCCAGGTCTCGCAAAAATCAAATAACGAATAAATTAAATTAACTTTTCAATACACTCACTGTACAGCCGCTTAAATATGTGATAAAAAGTTCATTAAACTGATCCTTTATTTTCATCAAGGGCAATATCCTTGACTTTATATCGTACAGCGACTATCGCGGCTTCAGCATAAAAAAAAGCAGTAAATTGGAATCTTAGCAAGAAAAGCTATTTGTTTAAACGATATTTTGTTTAATCAGCGATAATAAAGAAAAGGTACACATTTCATCCGTTCTACAGCTCATAAATGTTCTGTAGCAACTAGTATCTGTAGGATTTTACAGTGCTATTGGCTCTCGGCGTATAGAGATTTTTTCGACAAGAAATAATTTTCAAGGAGAACGTGACATCTATACGGCCTCTTTCATATCAAGTCATCAATTTTAGCGCATATTTCCGCCTTTCAATTTTCGAAAATGTTTCTCGTCCGAGAACATGAGCACAAGAGATAGCGCGCGGCGCAGAGCTTAAATTTCAACGTGTGAAAATTTCAATCTCTCCGACCAGGATTTACATACATGCTGATACCTTATCCAGATCACTCGTAAACTACCGACGTCTAGAGAATCCAGAAAGGCGTGTCAGTTCTGCAAGAATACTGCGTTTTCGTCCATTTTTTAAGCCGATATCTATCCGGAACTAGCTTTCCGACAGCGACTCCGATAAATCGCGACCGCAGAGTCGAGCGCGTGTTGGGAATGGTTCACAGACCGTGGAATATTTCCTTTTTTTTTTCTTTTTTTTCCCCTGCGCTGGCAAGACGTTCACGAGTTGAATTACGTACTGAGAAAAATAACTATTTAAATGGAAAGCAGCGGCAAGTTTCGCTCACATATAAACGTTAAATTTATTAGACAACATTATTATATAAGTGTTGATGCACAATGGTCGTTTTATTATAACAAACTTTTTACGTAATTTATGTAATTTGTTCAATTTCATACTTTGTCCAAGTTTTATTTTAATTTGACATCAACAATATTAGAATCTTAGAATGCGAATCATAATCTCCGTGCGATTATCCTTTTATCCGTCTTTTTGTCCGTCATATCTTCAATAGCTCGAGAACGCAAAGACGCCATGGAAAGAAAAAGAAAATAACCAATGAACTAATGGAATTCATGAGAAACTTCAGATGAAAGAACCATTCCGGTTGTTATTGGTATTCGTAGGATGTTATTTGTTGACTTTGTTATTACAGACGGAAAAAAATATTTTATCCCTTGCTTCATTAATGAATTCACAAATATTTTAAAACTAAAAGCGAATGGAAAGCATTTTTATAGTAAATTACAAGCTTCTATTATTAAATTTTATATTAATATTCGACTTTATTTAACTTTCTCTCTCTTTTCCCTCAGAAACATTTCAGTCTCAAAGGGTTTAAGTGCGCCGTTATCCGAAATTTCACTGCTTCTGCTTTCCAAGCAAAACGGTTCATTTGCTGTGTTACGCCCCCTTTCGTTGGAGTATTTTATTTTATTTTTTTTTACAGATAGCTTTATATATTGGAAATGGATGCGCGTTTCAACGTCTGCGATATTTGGGATATTCCGTCAGCGAGTGAATACGGACAACGTTTACTTTCCGCTTCATATCCTGGTGCTTAGTATTCATGGTCTATGTACAGTATGTAGATTCGACATTAACGATGCATTCGCTTCGAAAAGCGCAGGCTTATATACTAATTATTAATTTTCTAAAATTGACGTGAAATGCCAAGTGAGCGATTCAATCAATAATATCTTTCTGCGTGTGAAAGTTGCATCGCCTTGTGATTTGCTCTGTTAAATAACAATGGAAAAATATAGAAACCGATATCTGCTTTATAATACAAATAGAAATGCTATATCGCCGATTTATCATTATTACATACTTTAACACCAAAGACCTGGCAACATTCACTTGCTTCCTATCAGTGATTTTCTCACGAGAGAATTTTAAGGATCAAAAAAAAAAAATCGGTCAGAGAATATCTTGTTAAAGCAATAAAATTTTTGATGAGTATTAAAATTTGCAATTGTATTGCAATTGTACCTATTTTGATCGAAATTAGAGCCTGTCGATCTCCACTTCTTTTACACGAATAAATATCAAAAGTATGCGCGACTGCTTAAATCTTGATAAGAAAACTGATAGACTATGATAGACACAGATATTCTTATCACTCTTGAAGAGTAATAATTATATAACTTCATCTAAAACAGATGCAATCGTTTTCGTGATTAAATTTCACAATTTAAAGGATATGTGAATGACAGGAAATATAGGGAGTGTTGCGAAAACACACGTATTAAGTAATGTAGATTCTAAATCAATGCGAATGAGAATTTCTCAAGCTTCCATTCCTAAATTTTCCAAAATCTTGTTATACTTAAATACGCATTTAAACAAAACATTAACCGCGATATATAATAACCGCGCGAACAATATCGCCCCTGCAATGCTGTTAAATTTATAAATATCATTTACTGTGAAATAGCAAATATAATAATGCGTAACCAATTTGTCAATCGATTGGAATAAACGCGATATTATTTTAAATTATTATCTGCGCGCAATTTTATCATCGTTTTAATAACCGGGGAAAAACTTTTGATCGATATTTTCCTTTCACATCGAAAAGTGATTAAGTGATCGCTTTTTTGCAGTGATTGCCTATACTCGCTCATTTTTTTCAGTCCAGCAAATATACGGAATAAATCCGTATTGTACGCGTTTGAGGGGATTAAGGGCTGCTCAGCCCCGCACAGCCATCCCTTCGCGATTCTCTGCGTCCGTAATGCCCCGCCTATCGGGGCCCGTTCGCGCGAACGTTTCACCGCAGCGCCCATGTTTCATGCGATATGAATAATAATCTATGGGATGACTACATCGCTCGCATGCCCCCGACAAAAGCGTGAGCCAATACACAAGATTTGTAATCGAACGGTGCGATTCTTCGATATTTCATTAATCCTTACAAATAAAATGGTTATTACGCTCAATAATATCGTAATAAGATTCGCTGATAAATCTGAAAGGTATTTTCGTCTACATGTAACATCAAAATTATATAAACTTCAATCTTTATATACGTACAGATGCACATCCGAATGCAGACGTCCACGAATGAGCTGTTTTATATCCATCGCGAAAGAATAATTAAAAATATTAATTGCGAAACAATGTCCGTCCAATTACAAATTCCGTGGCAGACTGGCGAAAAAGCACGCGTGTAGTTGACTCTCGCTCGTTAGGCGACGAGCGCGGCAAAAGTTACGTAAATATGTGCAGGCAATATGAGAGGGGGATGTTAAGGACTGGGATGTAATTACAAGCGAGGGTGCGGTACTTCTGACCGCGTCATAAGGTCAGTCCTGCAAGCCGAACGTTCCGCTCGTAAAAGCGCGAAAAGTAGGTGTCTCAATTATCGCGCCGTTCACGTGAAGGGAAAAGTTCGCCCGAAACGTCCTATCGCGCAATAAATAATGTTATTGCATAGACTAGCAGAACGTTCGGTGCATGTTTTATTCAACGGCCACCCGGTAGTCGGCGAAGGATCGAGGAAGCACGTGAATATCGAAATCCTCGAGATAGAAAATTTTTCAATGTATTTCGTCGGATTATTATGTTATCATACATCTTCATGATTCGCTTTCGTATTTATTGCACGAATAAAAATATTTATAGCAGTGTCACGAAAACATTTCTCGTGCACGATTTATAGTAAGATCACTAACAAATTTTAACGCAGTATAACATTTTAGCATATTGTTTACTTTGTGATACGTAGATACGTAAATATCTATTATTCATTTATGATAAATATCTGAAAACATTTACGTTTTCGATAAAATAACGTTTAGAGATAAATGTTTTTTGGATATGTATATTTTCACTATGTATATAGTTTTTTTCAGAACATATGTTGTATCAAAACATTGCTACGAATAATTTTATTAAATTATTTGAAAAACATTGTTATCAAATAAATACTTTTTAAAACATGCTATTGATATAAATAATTTCTTTATAATATGTTACTAGATGTCAAATAATTTTTTCAACTATCTCCTTATTAAATTAAAAAGTGCCTGGTACAAAAATATTTTAAATTTGAGAAATATTTTATATAAATTATTTGAATGTATATCTAATACTTTTTTCTACAATGTAAGCATTTTTGTATAATTGAAACTAAAATTTTCGCATTATTAATTACCTAATTAGTACTTTTTTTGTTTCTCGAATCTTGACATTCACGAACTTCCTTGAAGTCGCCGATCAAACTGCTTCACATATTTTCGTAACTTTTGTTTACGATACATCTCGTCGCGATGTAAAATGTACCGCCCGCATCGAAATATATCGTCCTACTTTAAAATGCAATATGCACGACAATGGTATCTCTCTTGTCGGGGTCGAGTGGACACTCGTTTCTTGGTTATTCATCTCGAATAATTATATACCGACATGTACGTGACTTGTATAATTATCGAGTTATTTAATTATCAATTTGGATTTTCATCACTTTAACAAAACTTGAGAGTAAAAAAAGAAAAACTATACACGTGCTATCAATTCCAGTTTCAATCCGGTTAAAAAAAAAAAAAATATCGAAATAAGAGATAATTATAAATAAATATAAATAATAAATTTTAATTATTTCAATTTATTCTGAATAAAATAAAGTACGTAACAATGCGGAGCTTAATTGAAATCACCGAGTGCCAATATCGAGGAACGTCATGCCGCGCACGATGAAAAAAGAAACACACCCGCAATATTTCAATGCTGATTGCAATTTGCATCGTGCAACGACACGCAAAACCACAGTGTTAAACGTGTGCTCGCTCGACCCGCAGTGTCTCTCTCTCTCGGCAGCATGCTGTGCCGCTACGATATGTATATATCAATGTGTATCCATAATAATCAAAATCCGAAACAAGCTGATGAACTTACTTGTTGTAGAGCACTATGTCGGGCCGCCATATGTGATCGGACGGCACGTGCAACATGTGAACTCCCCCGTATTCCTTCGGCTCCCACCGCAGTTTGTAGTCGTACCATGACTTGAAACAGCCAATACAACAAATATAAACATATTATTGATACGCTCTTGCGTGTTATTTGGATCGCGTTAAGTCTATAGCGTAATAAATCATGGAATAATCAATTATTTATACCAGCACAATTATTTATAATAATTAAAGTCATAATAAATTATTATTATTATTGAGACAACTAACATCAACATCAATAATTGATAACAGATTCTTTCATTGATATTAGTATTAATTTTCTTATAATTGGCGACAAAAAATAACGAGTTTCTTTCGCGGTATTTTATATTTTGTAAATAGACTCAAAATCATATTTTTTAAATTATTTTTAAGTATGCAAAGAAAATGTCATTTTTCAACGCAATTTTAATTCAAATCTTAATTATGAAGATATGCAATATTGAAAACTGAAACGTTGCGATAAGTAATTATTGCCATGAAAATTATTGCACCAAGAGAACCAATTTCAAATTAATCAAAGAATCTGCTATTAACGCGGCAATTAATTATATAGAGAAAGATCGTTTCTGTATATTCTTATAATAATTCTTATTATGTTCCTAATAATTTATAATTACTTAATAAATTATATTTTAAAATTTATATTTTTAGTGATAACCAGTTCCATATCAAGAAATCATGTTATTAGATTCAGATATTGATAGGTAACTGCGTTATATATGGTATGCCACATTAAAATGTAGCATAATTTTAATAATTTTGATCTACATCCACATTTTGTTTTTTCTGTTTTTTTCGGTCGGTTGTCGCCCTTAAGCCCAGATGTAATTTCTTATGATAATGATTTCTGTTGCTCTGTGAAGTGGTAAAAGCCGTTGTTTCCCCCGACGGTTTCCGTCGCGGACTAAAAACCCGAGAGACAGTAGCGCGTCGCACTTTCCCCCGCAAATATTTCCCGCCGGCATTTTCCCTGAAAAACCTTCTTTCTCTGTGATTCGAGTGAGAATTTATTCCGTGTGGCTGGTGAATACTCGAGCAAGCTGCTTTCGCCTTTTCGTGTATTTTCTACGTTCTTTTTCCGGTGTATGAAGATTTCAATAGGCGTGATACTTCTGTGAATTTTTGGCGACAACTTACTTTGTTATAAAAATTATAATCTGTAATTATTTCATAATCTACGTTAAGTATGCGTGACCTCTCAAAAGTTTGGATTACAAAATTTTGAAAAAGTATATAAAATGCTTTTGCATTTTTATATTAAATATTTATCTAATCATAGCAAATTTGCTTTTTCATTATAATAATATATAATAATAAAATATAAAATTAGATAAATTATAAAAATAATATTCAATTTACATTAAAGGCTTCAAATATTTTTCCGTATAACTTTAAAAAATATTTTATGCAACAAATCAGAATTTTTATCGATAGTATAAAATTGTTTTAAGATAAAGAAAGAAAGAAAGGAAGAAAGAGAAAGGGAGAAACTTTGATATGAAGAAATCGTACATAACGTCATACATTTCGTACACTAGTCACGTATGTTTTTCTCCACAGACACACGTATAAGTACGTGCAGTTTTACCGGACACGCGACGCGCGTGTGCTTCGAAAGGATTTCGAATTTATCCCGCAAAGACGTCAAGTGAAAACCCGATAGCCCCTTATCCCTATATTCATTTTTCTTTTATTTTATGACGTTATCGGTTACGTTATCGGTTACGTATTATCGCACATAAATTATGTATTATAGCTTTATTGCATAATATAAGCGTGTGATTTGCATGTCACAAATCTGTACGAATAAAAATCTATAACTGTGCATGAACGTTTTTAGCATGCAAATGAAAATATATATTTTGTTTTAATGCAAATGACAAATGTTTCTGCAAAGTTTGCTTCAATTACAGTACTGGGCCATTGATTATTTTTATAATTAATAGTTAAAGTAAATTTAATTAAATAATATTTTATTATTTCTATTATTTCTTAATTATGATTATTCGTCACTCAATAATCATGTTTATCAATCAGAATAATTCAATTTAATAATTCAATAATTATACACAATAATCATAAACTCGATTATTTTACTCAGCTTCAATTCGTGGCATCTGTGCGAATTAGAATTCAAGTGACAGAAGCAATCGACAAAAAAAGAAGGAAAGATATACTAAATCAGTAAAGTTGTGAATAATTTATAATAATTTTCTACGGGAAACAAAACTGCCATAGTAGAGAATTCATCCCTCGTTTCGCGTAAGACACAAGACGGAAGGAAATGGTTAAGATTTTGCGGCTATTTACATGTATATTAGTCATGACACATACAGGCACATATACTTATATACGACTGCCATCCTAATTACGCGAAACATTCATCTAGGTTAGCTAAGCTCAGCGAGATACACACAAATTCGACATTACGCATGTACCTACACATCCACGGCTTCGTGGCTTTGCGCTGTTGTTGTACTATCGGTAATATAAACTGTGGTTCAAGCACTATAGCTGCTAATTAGGTGCTCACCTACGAATAGATCAATTACTTCAATATACTCGATGCTCAATCATCGATACCGCAGATATTGAAATCACGTGATAACTAGTGGGTAACATCCGCTACTATCCGCGTTACATCCGCACAAGTGCATAATTTAGAATATGACTCTCTAATAGAAGCGTGATTAATATCTATTTCCAGATAAAATGGAAGGAAAAAGAATTTTATAATCGCATAAAATTTTTTATTATTATTCAATAATTTCTCCGCTTTCTTATGAAAAATGTCCTTTTCAAATAAATTGTTTGAAAAAAAAATTTAATAGCAGCAAATGGGATTTAAAAAATTCAGATATAAAATAGTCCTTTATAAAAAGATTAACATTTGTTTTCTATATTAGAAAAAAAATCGATTAATACCCATTGTCGGATGAAATAGAAGGAAAAAAAGTTTTATAAAAAAACTGTATTACTATTCAATAATTTCTCTGCGTTTCTATGCAGTAATGTGTTTTACAAACTGTTTAAAGAAAATTTAATAGCAAGAAATACGATTAAAAAATGTAGTTATAAAATAGTCCTTTGTAAAGGAAAGATTGATGTTTTTGTGCACTCCAATTGTATTCTAACAATAGTGTCCTAAACAAAATTTGTAGTATATCGTATTTATACTCATCGCGTTTTATCCCATGCATCTTTGCCGCCAAAAATTTGGCACGCGCTCTAGTTTGACATTCGCGGTATCATAAATTATTTCCACCTCTGTGTTAATACCACCATTAATATATTTAATACGTAGTATGGCGCAACGCCTCGTTATACGGTTTGTGCATTTGGAGGGTTCGTATAGATTATGAAGTACGTTGATTTATGAACCAACCTCCGGCCTCGTTAAGCAAATATTCATATTTCGCACACATCGCGTAACACCCGTTTAAGCATTACACTTATATGATCAATTGTGCTCACTGAAATTTTATTCATTGTAGAGTAAGTAAAAGAATTACAGCAACGTTTCTCGTCACTATTACGTCAACGAGTAGCAGTACAAAACGTAAAGAAAAAAGCATCTTCTATCAAAATATTTGTATCTTGGTAATTAAAACATTTTTATTATCGTTATAATAAAATTATGTATAGAATACCATTGCAAATTATGGGTCGTTTAAAGTAGTCTCAGTATAAACAAAGCTTTTAAAATATTTAATTAGTATATAATATTCCAATAATGAAAAGGCTTACGCGATATTCGCTTTGCCGAACGAGGGTCGTCAACCCCATTGAATCTACAATTTTCCCTCACTCGTCCCTCATTCGTCCTTTCGTTTCTCGACGTTTCCACTCGCTCGATTGCGTTCGGACACGCTCTCGCAATATATATATATATATATATATATATATATGTATACAATATATGTATATATATATATACCTGCGAAAACGAGCGCGCATATTCCACTTACAGGAAGCAACTGAAGGAAACATACGTGCTCTGTATGCCGGAAAATATTGAAGCAGAAAATTGTGCATTGGGATTGCGCGGGATTTCATAGAGCCGTTCAAGAGAAGCGAGTAGCCTTCGAGAGGATAGCTCGAAAGAACGAGAGGACAAGATGACAGCCGAAGGATTGCCATGGTCCATCGCCCTATAGTTCTTCGAGCGAGGCGTATTTCTCGATAACGAGGGAGAAAACGATCTGTCTCTCGAAATATTCATAGCAAATATGCACAATACCTATACAAGATGTCATAAAATGTGTTTCAAAATCTTTCTGAGAAATCGATACTTGCGAGCATTATAAAGTTTTATTTGGTAAATCATTTTCTATTTAAAAAAAAAATTTTTTTCATAGTTGGAATATTATATGCCAATTAAATAATTTAAAAGTTTTTTTATATTAAGGCTACTTTAAACAATTTGTAATTTTAATTCTCCTCTTAATTTTTTAATTTAATTACCATCTGCTTTTTTGCTATAATTTCTCGCACTTTATTTAATTTCACCGTAAAACCATACTTTGAATTATCGCAAAGAATTTAATTCAACCTTTTTTAAAACGTATCGTGCATTATCATCGCTTGCACAGTTTCAAGAAACTATTTGGGAGAATAAATTATTCAATTTCTTATTTAAAATACAAGCAACAGATTTCGTTTTTATTAATTTATAATTTAAGTTGTTCTTTTTTTAAATTTCTATCACACTTTTCCTATTTATTCTATAATAAGCTACACAACACAACACATTGTATTTCTCTATTCCTTATATCGATTATTCAATATCTTCTCTAGTATTCTGATCGAAATTTCCCCAGAATAATAATAAACTGAATTGAGCTGAACTCATATTATCGCAAGTTAGAGCTGAGTTAAGCTTTGCTACGTTTTCGGATCATTTCGTATATGCATACGCTGTACGTGTGCGTGTGATATATAGAAAGCTATAAGCTCGCGGAGTTGTCGGAGCTTCCCTGTTTTGTATCACACAGTCGCGACGACGTGAACCGAGAAAAAGCTCGAGGAGCTGGGAAAGCTGATCATTT